TTTTTAATAAACAAATAGTTGACTAAAAATGAATTGTTTTAACATAAAAGATTTGTTAGATAAAAATAAAAAATGATAAGAGATTTTTATAAATACGTTTTGTTTTAGAAAGTAAAAAATTTTGAATGAATTTTAAATTAAAGAAATGTTTGTCTTTTTTTTTTAATAAAGATCTCATTTAAAAAAAGCATTTAAAATAAAGTTTGAGTATCAAAGCCTTTGTATTTAAAAAAGAAATTAAATTCACAAAATAAAGGATCCAAAGAAGTCCTTGCATGCCTCAAATTATATATATATCTTTTTATCATTTTTTACTAAATAATTATTTTAAATAAAAGATTTCGTTTATAAATTTTTTAAAACAAAATTCAAAAATACATTTGTATTTTAAAATGGAACATATAACTTATATCCCAATGTGTTGACATATTGGTGAGATGTTTGAGTGTCAACATTCAAGTAACAAGTTCAGGTCCCAATGTACCCTAAAAATAAAAATATTTTTTTTGACCAAATAAAATAATAGGATAATTTTTGACAAATTGTGGTACCGTTTTCGAACGGGTGTAGTAGTGTGTTAATACCTTCCCTATGCTCAATCGACTTCCGAACCAAAATCTGTTTTTCGTAGACCAAGTTTTTAAAATAGGTGACCAATCACACCTGGTAGATGGTAGGGCGACTCCAAACCCTTATCTCGAAAGAGACCCTTTAGGGGATGACGTTGGCCGCTCCGCATCGCGATGACGTTGCGACACTTTTTTTTTTTTTCCAAAGTACAAATAACAAAAATATTTTAATAGATAATTCTTTTACATATGTAAGAAAACTTAAACCTAAACAAAATAATTAAGATTAGGAAATTGATTTTTTATCCATTTTATTTTTCTTTTCACATTTACGGTTCATTGTGCAAAGTCAAGCAAGCATTTATTATAATTTTTGTTCGTAAAATTTTATTTGGTACTGTAAACTTTTCATAGTTTTCTTTCTATGAAATCCTTTCTTACTTTTTTCTACCCCTTTTTTCTTTATACGAAAGAAAAAAGGGAGGGACCGAGAACTTAGGAAAGGTATTTTAGATGGATTTTTTTCTTCTTTTGAAAATAATTTTAGAAGTGATTTTAGCCGAAGATATTTAATGATAATTGATTTTGTAAAAGTAAGTTTTATATAATTATTTTAATGTTGGGTTACACATTGTTTTAAATAATTTTTATATATACTATATATAAATGGGATTATAGATGGGAGAATCTTTCTCTCAAGTTTTGGCCTCAATTTTTTAATATATATCCCTTTAAACTTCTACGGGACATTCAAACTTTTACGAGATACAACTATCTTGGTCGAAGTGTATCTATTGAGAGAAGCATTACAATCGAGATATCGTAGAATTATGTCTATTCTTGTGATTGAGATTAGAGTTGTGTCACACATTCAAATGAAAAGTTAATCCATCGAAGGTGCAATTCTTTGACGAAGTGATGCGTCAATCTGCATATTACAGTGATTACAAATCATCTATGGAACAAAAGAATACTGAAGTGGTCATACATAAATTTGTGGCTTTTCCCCTTTCATCGAGAATGTCTATGAAGTGTATATATCTTCTATTCCTTTCAACGAGAATGTCTATGAAGTTTTTAATTTCATCAGATAACTCGAATCATTCCAAAAAGAATATTAGCAAGAGAAACATTGAATCGTGTCAAATTGAAGATTTAAATTTTGTAAAGTTATTTTAGTCTTAGGTACATTATAAAATTATGCTTTTATGTTATTTTTAAATTTTAATTTTTTGTAGACTTTTTAATTTTAATTTTGAATAAAAAAAAACTCGAACTCTTATAATCTTCTTGAAGGAAAATCAACAAAAACTAAAGATCCTACCAATTTCGTGAAGGAAATCAACCATCCGATATTTTATTTGAAAAGTAAGTATTCGATCATTTGTACACTTTAATTTATTTTTTGGACATTTTATGATTTATCTTTTTAATTTATTTTCCTTCAATTATCATCAACAACATCTTCCATTTTTCGTACCAACGAGATGTATCACTTATTATTTGACTATACTTAACCTTTTTTACTAATTATATTTATATGTCTAAATTTTAATAGGGATTAACTTCCACTATAATGTCATTACGTCAAATTTATTCAAATGGATAATTTCACCCTACCAGTTATGGTCTAAAAATTTAAAACCCGGTACAATAAACGTGAATCTAACTAGTATAATCAAAAGTAATTTTTAATGATTAATATTTGAAGTTTAAAAGAGAATTTGACAAAAGTTAAACATCAAGAACAAAAATCTCATGATTAATATTTGAAGTTTAAAAGAGAATTTGACAAAAGTTAAACATCAAACAACAAAAATCTCAGAGAGATAAATTCTTTAGGGTGAGACAAAAATTTAGACAAATAAATTGACTTAGAAATCTAGAGAAAGATCAAAAGTTTTAGAAAAAAAAAAATACTAATAAACAAAATAAAACATAAATAAAGTTAGAGAGCTACGAATCTTAAAAATAAAAGAAAATTAAAATTTCTCAAATTTTAAGATAAAAATAAGGTGAAGTAATGGAAAAATAGTTTTGAATTTTAAAATAATAACCGTTTAAAAAATTAATTCTGTATTAATTTTTAACTAAAAAATCACTTGAAAATCATGATTGACTGAGAATTTTAAAGTCATTTTGTATTTTTCCAAAATCACTAGAGAATTATTGTTAAACATGCATTATAAAATTATAGTGATTTTGACATTGGTGGAAGTTATTCTAGCCTACTAAAATCACTCACAAATAAACCCTTCAAAGACTTCTCTCGAAAGATCTCACAAAAATTACTCTCTCCTCACATTTTTTACAAGAAAATCCATTTTCATTCTTTTCCTTGTTTCAATCCAAACAAAAGATTGGTATGTAACTCGAAGAAGATAAGATAAAGTTCAAAACATCACCGGTACAGAACTCGAACACAAAACTTCATGGCATAGATTTTATCACAAAAACCTCGTATTCTTGTCATTGCATCATCCTCTGGAGGACGAAGCAGGATGAAAACAGGGGAGAAGCAGAAGCTACAGGCCACACGGGCCGAGGAGGTAGCGCCGCGGCGCTGTCCAGATAGGGGCGCAGCACGAACTTTCCGTCTGTAGCACCATGGCGCTGTGTCAACTTTATAAAAGTGCAGTTTTTCATTTTAGGGTTTATTCCAGTCGTCTTTTAGTCGTTTTGAGAGTTTCGTGGCAATTTCAAGGGGAAGGCTCGGGCATTGGCAGAGGCATTGAAATGGATCAAGATCAACGTATTTGGGGTAATTAGATCTTGATTCTTGTGAGTTTTCCATTCCTGTTCCTAAGTATTAATTGTGTAAAATACTTAGAAGCTAGGGGACTTTTGTTGAGACCTCTACGGGATATTTTGAGGAGTGTTATTGTATCCAATTCTAAACAATATTAGTGAATACCCACATTTGAGTGGAAGACTGGACGTAGTTCTTAGTGGTGAACCAGTATAATTTTCTGTGTCGTGTTTACTGCCTTTCTTCCTATTTGCATATTTGTAGTTGTGTCGGATATTTTGTGTGAAAGGGAAAATCATTCCGGTCAATCAATTTTCCAACGATATAAGGCTTGATTCATGTGCTCTCATAAGATCCTTTCACTTGCCATCATTATTAATGGCACCCTATGAAAGAAAAAGAAAAGATAATGTATTATTTGATCCATGCTTGATTTATATAACACGGCTTGATTATCCTTTGACTTGCTACCATTATTAATGGCACCATTTGAAAAAAAAAATATTTTTTGATAGAATTAATTGGTTTTCTGGTTGATTGATGAGGGTAAATTTTGTTAATTATATTCAAAGGGAACTGTGTGGATTATTTTTATTATATTTTTATTGTTATATACCTAGATAGAGTATGAATTGTGAAAAAATAGTTGAAGGAAAAAAAAGCGATCTAATAAGAAAGCAAAGAAATAAACAGAAGCTTTCCTCATTTTTCATGATTAAAAAAAATGCATTTTCATCCTTTGACTTCTTGTTTCGTGGTGGAGCATGCATATTCATTTTTTTCGTTGAAATCGATTTCAGGTGACTTATGCTAGTAGATTCTATAGACGTATTTTCGTTTTAAAAATTTTCATTTATATACTTAAAATGTATTTTTTTTTTTTTATAATCTATGTAAAACTAAGATTGCATCTGCAACTATCACTATCCTCAAACGTCATAAAAATTGTTATGGTTAAAATAAAATAACAAAGATTACGATAGCAATGATTTTGGATAAAGTATAAATCATTCATCTGTTGCATGCTTAGTGCCATCACATCATAATTTATAACAAATTGCTTGTTTCATATTATCACTGAGCTCTACATTAAATAACACTTAATTTTGGAATGATCTCTGCAATTTTTTAACACATATTATCACATCATTAAAAAAAATATATATATTAAAAGCCTCATAAAAACAAACCAAATATATTTTACATCTCGATATATCATTTATTATCTCTTCAACATATCGTTATTATATAGACCATTAGAAAAGCAAATATTCTATCAAACAAAAACTACTTTCTGATGGGAATCATCAAGAACAAGTGAGAAATAACACTTGTAAAATTTTATCTAACGCTACAAACCATTGAAATAGTATTTTAATTCTGAGTCCAGTTAATTAGAGACTCTTAAATTATCATAAAGTTTATGAATATAAATATTAGAAGTCACGTCAGCTGGATTTCATTGCCTAAAGTTTTGTAATCTTATTCAAATATGAAAAAAATATATATATTAAAAAGACAAAATACCAAATTCTAAGAAAATCTCGCACGCACAAAATGAATATTATAATATATATACATTTTTCTGACCCATACACCTTATAAAAAGGGAGGGAGGGGCAGCACTAACACCAATCTGAAAACTTCTTTCAAAGATCAAAGGAGAAGGTTCGAAAGGATCTATGGCTACAGGTAAATGAAATATTATTGGTATGTTCATTAATTTATTTTAAATCCTTATTTTATTTATATTATAAGCGCTATTTATTAAGGATCCCATGTTGAAAAAATAAGGGCTCGTTTGGTAACGTTTATATTTCTTTTTTATGTTTTTTTATTTTTAATGACAAAAAATGCATTGCATGATTCCAACCTCTAAGAATTCAAGTATGATAAAACAATTTTTTTATTTACATTTTGGAACAAATTAGAAATGAGAACAAGAAAGGAGAAACTAGTTTTGGTTGTTTCCAAAGTTTCTCTACAATTGTGAGAAAGTTCACAACAAATGGGAAACAAGAAACAAAGTTAGTTGAAAAATACTTAGATTTCTTAAGAAAATTGGAAATGAGAAATAAAAAACGGGAATGTTACCAAACGAGCCCTATAAGACCTAACAAGGGTTTATAATTGATATGTGCTACACCTCTCATCGTCAATTGATTTAAGATGGAACCCATGAATATTGATATGGTATCAAAGCCCAAAACACTCAAACGAGTATCCGGTTCAAAAATGGGTAACAATTATTTTATTGGAAGAAAAAATCAATATTTTTGTTGTTTTTCCTT